ATCACGTCAACAGAATCTGGATGTGCTCACTCACATGCACACACTACCAAGAGGTAAAATCATATTTTTTTGCGTTTCAGGCTGCCTCAGCATCATTCTCTAAGCTCTCTGGAGGTATGTCCCCACTTTCTCCCTCAAAGTACATTTATATATATACTTTGTCTATTTAGTTCACATTAGAGACATTGTGTTTCTGGTCCTCACACACGTATAGATGTTATTTCTCTCACTAAAGGACCCAGTCAAGATGTTGTTTCTTCCAAACCACTTGCACATCTGACAGGTGAGACCATTGTCATTGTCTAATCCATTATCCAAAGTATCTTGTGTATAGTGCAGTTTGCACAAGGTTGAGTATTCAATTCATCATGTAAAAAATAATGATCAAACTTCACATTGTCCCTTTTTTCCCCCAGGTGGACAAGATGCAGTTCATGGACCACATATCATGGAGTGGAGCATGATTGCAGATCCCCTACTCCATGATATGTACTACAGAAACGGAAGCCTTATCATTCAGAAGGAAGGTTTTTACTATGTCTATTCAAAGGTTTTCTTCTTGGAGAGCGGTGTGTTTTACCACTCTGTAGATATGAATACTGAAAGGTACCGTGGAGGAAGTATCACCCTCCTGAGGTCCAGGAAATACACCCCTGGAAATGTTCAATCCAACAGTTACCTGGGCGGAGTGTTTCACCTTTACCAAGACGACGCTTTGTTCGTGAGAGTCAGCGACACCTCAAAAATCCATCGACACAAATCCTATGAGAACAACTTTGGTGCATTCATGATTTAAATATCACACTTATTATTCATCATTATTATAAATTGTAAAGCTTTGTGAGTTGTACTCCGTCACTGGTACAACTTTGTATATACAGTATAAGGCAATTCTGGGCCTGTTCCCTCATTGCCTGTGTGTCTGCATTATGCAGAAATGTATTGTGCGTTACTCTCTGTGTGGTCAGAACTTCTTCACAATGTTCAAAGAGAAAGTGGGAAAAGGGCTTTTGCTTATTCTCCCCCTGTGACTCGGAATTTATTGCAGATTGACTTAAAGCTCAGCAAATTAATCTCACTCGTCACCTTTAAAACCAGAATAAAAGAACAGGAGGCAGATTCTATAGGATTGGGCTGTTTTTAACTTACCTGGTTGTGCGTTACACATGTATTTACCTGTGCTGCTGCCAATCTTGGCTAGGTCTACCTTGAAAAAGAGAATCTTAATCTCATTGGGACTTTCCTAGTTAAATAAAAATAAAACAATCACCACAAATCTAAAGGTTTGGAGTAGAAATGTACCTAATATAAATATCTCGTCATAGATATCATTCAAATTTTCCTCCAATAATCAAAAGCATCCAAACTGTTCTTTTGTCCTTGCTGTAACACACACTTTCGCACCATTTATTTATTATTCCTTCAGTGGCGGAACGAGTGACAAAAAGGCTTTAATCATATTGTATTTTTGTACAATAATTTATAGAAAATAAAGAGATAAACAGATAATTATGGAAAAGATCTTCTGGTTGTCTGGGATGTTTCCTCTGGTCATTTTCCGCAGTGAAGTGAACTCACTTCCTATCGAGTCAGGTGTGGCCTCAGAGTAGCTCAGTAGCAACAAAGTCTCACCCCCTCAGTTCAACCACATGACACGATATGTGGAGAAGATTTTTTTTCAATGCCACAGTGACACACAACAGTATGAACTGAATTACTGTATATATATATATATTGCAGCAGCAAGACAAACACCAAACTACACAGGCTCCCCCAGAATTCAGTGTAAGATTTTACTGATCACTCTCACATCGCTACATGATCCGACTGCTTTATGCTTCAGAACTTTTAATCCCTGCTCTGACACCCCTGAGATCAGAAATTCGAATTTTATAAATCCCACAATCCAGGAATTATCATTATTCAAGTCAGCACACTTTATATCTTTGTCAATTCCTCCCCACAGTGACAAGCGTGTTGACGTGCCTTGTGCAAAAGCCCCATCACTTTCTGCAAGTACTATTTGTCACACATCGCTCATGCACCCACTGTTGCACTTTCCATTCAGCTGTGTATCTGTTCGGAGAAGCCGCTTTGAAGAAACACCCACAGAGTTTTGTATTTGTAAACTGGGGAGGAAGTGGCGGTGAAGGCCATGGGGGTTTAAGGGGGGGGGGGGGGTGTCCAGAGCTTAGCAGTATATGTGCTCTAACTGCGGCATTCAACATAATATCTGTCAAACAACGGCTTGACCTTGACTTAGATTTCTTTGTCATGTGGCATCCATGTATTTTGTCATCTGTAAATCATCATTTTCCATTGTGAAACGTGAGAGGCTGTAATAACAAAAGAGGGGGAGCAGTTTTCGGCTGTGTGGTCGAGGTTCGAGCAGCAGCACTGTATAACTGCGACCAATTCTTCACAGTTCCATTCATGAAAACAAACAGTAAAACGAAATCAGTCGTACCACTTCAGATATCAGTCTGGTTAATCTATAAAGCACCAGCTCAGCCACTGTGAGGCCTTTATTTTACAGTGGTAGCATTTTCAAACAAATCAAAAGTGAAAGAGGGAGGTGATGGTAGACGGCTGAATGCTGTCCCCTTGTGTTGGTGTCTGGATCAAGTAGAGCGCAGCGGAGGCCTGATATGTGTCTGAAGTGTCAATTCATTTTTAAAACACGTCCAACAAGAGAATTTGAAACCTTTCGCTCACAGGTTGAATGACTCGTAGTGTCATTTTCAATTGAGGTTTAAACTCCTTGTGTGCGTAGCTTTATTTATTTATCTTTTTAGTTATGATTTTACAATTTCTCCATAATTTTAAAGTATTTCATTTTTA